TAATCTCTGCATTCGGCATCTCTTACATGTCTCCAGACTCAAGAAATGGACGTTCTTGGGGGTTCTAGGGAGGCTACAAATAGGTCTAGGAAGAGTTTTTCCAAATGGGTTCCATGCTATGCTGAGAAATCGGATCTTTCCTAAAGTTATTTGTCATATAATAAAATCCTATCTATTGGATTAAATGATAAGACCACTCGTCTTAGTTAATGTTGTAGGGAGGGGAAAACTTTCCTCTTTCCTCTTAGGTGCCGCACCCAGGGCCTGTGAATTAAGCTGGCAGAAGCCGGATTCACAGGAGAAAAGGCATACGCATTTTACGTGATGTTAACTATTTTAATTTTAACCTACACAGAAGCCTTCATCGTAAAGAAGTAAAGATCCGAAGAAGCGATTCATCGTGGGGGCTTTATATACCAAAAGGCCATTCATTTTGATAAGTGACAAGACAAAAGAAAGGAGGTTGAGGCTTCTAGAGGTGGTGAATTGTGGGAAGGTAAATATATTGAAAGACGCGGGTTATTTAACAAGGTTTTGTCTGTGCGAACTTATCTTGGGGCCGTCTCCAGTGCCAGTGATAGAGACTATTCTCTTACCGGTAGAAGGGGGAGCCTCTGCACAGGGGAAATTTACGCCCTGCTTTCAGGTAGATAGCTGGAGGGCAGAGAGCTTTTCCTGCGTCTGCTTTTTCTTAATTGCCTTCATCTCAAGGTAATCTTTACGCCAAAGTGGCATGTTTTGAGGCAGCATATTTTGATCTCCTTCGATATTTTAAAAGAAATTTAATTCTATGATCCTCAAAACTATATAGAAACCCAAAGTAGAGGAAAATAGAATCTTGCCTTCTAGAGACACTGGCTGACTTATTTAAGGAGAAGAGAAGAATCATGTAAATCAAAGTTAAGTTACTCATATGCAAATGAGGCCTTCTAAAATCATGACAAACGTGTTTTTCTCTTACATGAATTCAATGTTTTCCCTCTGATCTTTCCCGCTCAACAAAACTTTTACAACATGTGTGTAAATTATGACACAC